GTGTGTGAGAGGGTGAGTGTGTGTGTGTGTGTGTGTGTGTGAGAAAGTGTCACTGCATCATCATCATCATCATCATCATCGAGTCGTCTGGATTCTTCATTAAACCCACAGCCAATAACACATCAGCTTCACCGCATCACTTCAGACCTCATTAGCATAGACACGCCCCTACTCACTCTATGAGCCTATCAGACCACGCCCCTAGTGTCTGCTGGTGGGGGATGGAGTGAAAGAGAGGGAGAGAAAGAAAGAAGGATGATGTGATGAGAGAGAGAGAGTGAGGATGAGGAGGATCAGTATTCCTCCTGGTCCCGTGGCTGTTCGTCAGTCTCCTCGTCCTCCGGAGGCGCGAAACCATCCTGAAACAAACCCAACATCAATAACCCGCACGTCTGGGGACGCCGCACGGAAGCCTGTTTCCGGCACGGAATTAAAAAACTAAAAATGTAACTGCGTCTTTCATTTCACAGGTTTGGTCTTTATAACCCCAGAACTGCAAGATACAAACGTGCAACTGTGACAAGAAAGTCTGAATTTTTAATTGTGGCAGAAACTAACAAATAAAACAAAAAACAAAAACCCTTAAAAAACAGCCAGATTTGTGAGAAAAAAAATCAACTGAATTTGCGAGAAAAAGTTCAGAAGTGCAAGAGAAATAAAACAGAATTCTGAGAAAAGTCAGAACTGTGAGAAAAAACTATTCTGAGGAAAAAATTTTGACTTGCGCGAGAAAAAAAAACAGAATTCTGAGAAAAGTAAACAGAATTCTGAGGAAAAAAAAGAATTCAGAGGAAAAACTGTAGACTTGCGCGAGAAAAAACAACAGAATTGTGAGGAAAGTCAAGAGCTGCGAGATGTAAAGCCACAATCACTCTTTGAGCTTCTCTGAATTCTGTGCCAGAGTCAGGCGTGACGTATGATGAGGACGGATGAGGACGGATACCTCTGTGGCGTACAGCACCTCCAGGATTTTGCCGAGGACCAGGTTGCTGTCGCTCTCGTTCTCCTGACAGATCAGCTCAATGTCTCGCAGTTTGCCGAAGTAGAAGTCTCTCTCTTTCTCCAAACCGTCGACTGTCAGTTTCAGGTCCAGCAGCTGCACGCAGACCGTTTTATTTCATATTCATTTTTATTTTGATACGATTTTATTTATTTATAAATATATATATATTACATTTATATTTATAAATTTTAAAATAAATATTTAAATAAAATAAATTAATAATACAATAGTTATTTATTTTAATATTATCTATTTAATAGATTCATGATATAAATTCAGTTGCAGTGCATTTCATTTTTTATTTTTTTATACAGTAATTTCTTTAGGCACTTGTTCTGTCTCTAATATTAGCATTCGTATTAAATCATTTCTACTTAATGAATCATGATTTGTTCAAGAGGCACATACATATGTAAATTAGGCTACTTTCTCCGCCTCTGATTGGCTCTTGCCTGGATTCTGAGTGTGTATTGCAATGCGTGTGCGTTTGTACCTATTTATCCATATTTTAGAGACAAATTTGTGAGCGAAACCTGACAGAACCTCCCAAAACCACCTTTTAAAGCAGGTCTGCATTTGTAAAAATGTAAATGTATGCAGATAAAGATTTTTAAATGATGAAAATGTTAGTGTTTATAACTAGCAGAACTATTGTCTTTTGTTGTTATGGGTGCATCTAAAGATTTCTTATGCATCTCGCGACTATGTCGTGCATGAAATAATGTCTGTGTGCATGTGTCTAAAACAACAAACTGATGATTTATATGTTTAATCATTTGTAATGGTATATACATATATGCTGTGATTAATTGTGGCTGGAATAATAATGTAGCTGTAAAAATAGTTATATATTGGTGTACCTGCTGGTTGAGCTCCATAATTTCGGCGTCGCCGCCTCCGTTTCGTGACGTTGGCATGTTCCGCCGTGTTCCGGTGGAGGGGGTGGAGCTTATGGCACGCGGGGGGGCGGGCATAGTTTTGGGTGCCGTCGGTGACGTCCGCTGGGGTCCTAGATACGAAGCCGAAGTCATTAGCCAATCACAGCACGGCGCCTCACACATCAGCCAATCACAAAGCAGAGGCTCACTCGCCAGTAGATTTCGTCGATTCTATTCGAGTATTCGATTTCAAAACATCCTCGATTTCATTTTGAAAAAAAGTTGAGTCGAGTAATCTGCTAATTACCGGAAGTGGCGCATTTCATGGACGAGAATCCATGAAACGCATTATTAGACGCATTACTAAACCCATCTAAAAATCATAATAAAGCATAATGCTATTGTGAATTCACAAACGCTACGATGCAATTAAATACATATATGCGATGCAGATGTAATACATGCGCTTTAATTATTTACATGTTACGTGCGTGCGTGTCAGAGCGGCTCAGTTCACAGTAAACGCTGCTCCGCACAAACTCTTATCGTTCACATGCGTCTCAAACGCCATCTCTGCATGTTGCTGTGAGTTTGGGTTTATTATAACCTTCATCTGGGA